ACATTTGGATAATCACAAAAACAATACATTTCATAAGGTAAATAATCAAATATTGTGTTTTTGTACTGTTTTCAGTTTAATACAAGTCAAAACGAATGAACTAATCACTACTTTGTCTTCATTAGCACTTCGCATACTGCCCTCAGCAGCTGCCCCTGACATTGTATGAAAATTTAAATTTTCATGGACCAATAGAAATGCACCAAAATGGCTTGGAATGAAATCTCTTTACATTAACTCACATTAAAAGTAAAGGACATTTTTGCCCTCTCCTGTAAAGTTATCATTTTGGAGATATTTTGTTGTCTTTGGACAGCATTAATATGAATGTTTAATTATGTATCTTTTTAAGGACTGGCAACCTTCCCTAAGCTCCACTGAGCCATAAATATGCAATGCTCTGTGTGCCTGCATTAAATAAGTTGTCTCAGGCCTCCATATGACTAATGCTGCTAAGACTCCATAACCCTTAGAAGCATCACTCTGTGTACCTGAAAATGACTCATATCACCCTGGGTTATGATAAAGGTTTCAAACAGGCTTAAAATGATACCTAATCTTTACAGAGCACTGTCTGCAAAATGAGCGAGCTAGATATAGCTGTATGGACTGAAACTAGCATCAGATAACATGCTGACTGTCATTTAACTAACATTTCGCCAGAGGTGAAAATGGGGAGCTCTTGCAGATTTCCTTTTAAGCCCTGACTAAGTGAATCTCTGTCCACATCTAGTTCCCTAGAGCCATCAAAATGGGGCAGACCTTTCAAAAGATGACCTCCTGCTGTTAAAAACCAGACTGTGCCACGTTACATTGTTAAAGAGTCGGTGCTTAGACACCCATCATGGTCAAGTTGGTTCCTCACTCTTTTTGTGGTCCCGGCCCCCATTTTGGTGAGGGAAAAATATCAACTGTGCCTCATTTTTATTCCTCTGAGCTGCCAAGAAGAATATGCAGAGTATGGTTAATGATTTCCCACAGCTTGACAAAAGAGTCTGTCTCTGCGTCACAACCAGTGGCCCACTCAGCAACGGTCAAAGTGCCCTTTTCTAGTTTAGGTGCTAACATCTCTGTGTCTGTGTGTGAGAGTCCAGACATCACTGATGTTGATGGATAGGGAAAACGTCCTTCACATGAATATAACCACAAGTTTTGTCCTTCTCTCTCTGAAGCTTCTGAGACTTTCAGCATCGTCAATAGAGTCACTGGTTGGACAAATTAACATTCTGCTCTTGTTTTAAAGAAACATTGTGTGACCTTTAGCTCGTTTTAAAGAAATCGTTTGGGGACGGTAGAAATGTACTCAGTTTTCACCTTTACTCTAAATGTACTTGATCAGCCAAGACAACTACATTCAGATATGTTTTATGCAGCAAATGATTCTTTTAATTTCTGCCAAGTGACTCACTGAGGTGTCAGTTTTCTGCTTCTGCCAACCATGTTTTTCATGATCTAGATCCCACTTAAGTAGTTAATCTCCCTCACCATGACAACCCTCCACATGCCCCCACATCTCCTGGCACCTGGACTGCCAGTGGTCCCTCAGACCAGATTTGATAGTATCGTCACTGCCATATTAACAGTCTTGACTCAAGATCCACAAATCTAAATAACTTTTGACCAAAGAACCATTACTCTCCTTTAAAGATATTTTAGTTCAACCATGTTCTCAAACTGTAAAATGCGGAGGTGCTACATGAATTGTATTTGGATGCTAATTGGAGCTTCCAGTGCAGGTTAGCTACATTAGCCTTATAATGCCATTGTGAACTAAAGAAGAAAATTTCAGACACCAAACATGTCTTGGCTTAAACAGTGCTTAAACAGTTGTGACAGACCTTGACATTTGCCATCGTTACAAGATAATTAATGTTATTTGATTCATCTGTTAGCAGTCACAATGTTTTGGCTTATCGTGAATATAAGCCAAACTAAATTGGCCTTTTCTCCATGCATCTTACAGCCTTCAACTTCAAAGTGCTCAGAAAGCTTTATGTTGCAGTTTCTTCTATGCTTTGTCACTTTGTGTCAATGTGCTTTATTGATGGTCTCTTACCAAGGCCCTCTAAAGAGACCTTGAGCCGTTACAAAAGGAAAAAGTTACTGCTATTATAAAACAAGATGTCTAGAACAGAAAAACCTCCAGAAGAGCATCAGTCTAAACAGAAACAAAGGGAATAGCGACTGCGCATTATCCTGCAAGGTGTGCAGAAATATTCGGTAGAAATATTGTTCAAGCGTAAATTTACTGTCATTACAGTGACAGTAAACGCAGATATTCATGCTCACTGTTCCTCCTGATGACTTATAAACTTGCCGCTTGCACAAGCCCTTACGTCAACACCACATGCCAAAAATAAGAGAGAAAATTGCTCGCTGAATGCTGCAATTTAGCATACAGCAGTTAAAGCTAAATTGAAAACACCAAGAATAACAATTAAAATCATTATCACTTACCACTGTTGACTAACCTCCGCTAACACAGGGCACAATGTCTCTTCCAAGAATGCAGCTGCTTCCATCCAGCTAACACACGCACAAAACTGTACAATAAAATATTTTGTCAGAAATAATCTCTAACATGAATACTGTTATATGCTTGAGCAGCATTTAATGACCAAGTTGAAGCATATATTAAAGCTGCAGATTTGTTTGGTTAAAACTTAAAGAAGTAGCATTAGTTAAAAGGAAAAAACACTCAAATATGATGTGCATGCACTGCTGCAAGTCTGTAAAGCTTGAAATAGTAATTTAAAAGTCAGAAGTGTCAGATTGGATTTTGCAAGACTTTTTCAGACCATGTCAAATATCTTTACATTACACATATAATAGGAATTCTCCTACTAGACAGGCTTTACTTTGACTTTAAAAGGTCCACATTATGTGAAACCAAAATTTCCTTGCTTTAAAAAAAACAGCATAGTTATAGCTTTATAACATAACATTCACTCTCCAGTCAGTATGACCCATATATGGACATTAATCTGCAAAAAAGGCCTGTTTTGAATACCATTCTGTTACATTTGTGATGTCACAAAAACAACTGATTTACATACACTATATGGAAAAAAAGTATTGGAACACACCTCTTAATCACTGAATTCAGATGTTTCATTTAGTCCCATTATCACAGGTGTATAAATCAAGCACCTAACCATGCAGCCTGCTTTTTACAAACAATTGTGAAAGAATGGGTCATTCTAAAGAGCTCACTAAATTCGAATGTGGTACTGTAATAGAATGCCACCACTGCAACAAAGTTTACGCAATTTCTTCTCTCCTAAATATTCTACAATCAACTGTGAGTGGTATTAGTGAAAAGGGGAAGCATTTAGAAAACCACAGCAACTCAGGCTTGAAGTGTCAGACCACTTAAACTTACAGAGCGGGATCACCGAGTGCTGAGACGCATAGTGCATAAAAGTTGCCAATGACTTGTGCTGACTAAATAACTGCAGAGTTCCAAACCTCCTCTGGCATTAACATCAGCACAAAAACTGAGTGCCGAGAACTTCATGGCATGGGTTTCCATGGCAGAGTAGCTGCATGCAAGCCTAATATCACCAAGCACGATGCCAAGCGTCGCATGGAGTTTATGTAAAGTACACCACCACTGGACTAGAGAGGCAGAAACGTATTCTGTGGGGTGACGAATCACGCTTCTCTATCTGGCAGTCTGAAGGACGAGTCTGCGTTTGGCGAATGCCAGGAGAACGTTACCTGCCTGACTGCATTGTGCCAACTGTAAAGTTTGGTGGAGGAGGGATAATGCTATGGGGTTGTTTTTCAGGGGCTGGCCTAGACCCCTTAGTTCCAGTGAAGGGAAATCTTAATGCTTCAGCAGACCAAGACATTTTGGACAGTTTTAACTTTGAGGAAGGCCCTTTTCTGTTCCAGTATGACTGTGCCCTAGGTAGATACATAAAGGCATGGCTGGGTGAGTTTGGTGTGGAAGAACTTGACTGGCCCACACAGAGCCCTGACCTCAACCCCATCAGACACCTCAGGATGAACTAGAATAGAGATTGCGAGCCAGGCCCTCTCGCCCAACATCAGTGTCTATCCTCACAAATGCTCATCTGGAAGAATGGCCAAAAATTCCCAGACACACTCAAAAATCTAGAAAGTAGAAAGCTTCCCAGAAGAGTGGAAGCTGTTACAGCTGCAAAGGGGGGATCAACTTCATATTAGTGCCTATGGATTTAGAATGGGATGTCATAAAAGCTCCTGTAGGTATAATGTGTAGGTGTCCCAGTACTTTTGTCCATATAGTGTATATCCATTGGCTGAATTGTAAAAGAATTTCATGGGGTTCAGATAACTGGGTGGAAGTGGGGGTAACTCCAAATACATCCAAGGCAACTTGGCATGTAAATATCAAACGTGGATGGAATCTACATGTTTGATAAACCTCTTAAGTCACTTATTGATAAGTAATCTTATCACTTAATTACAATCAAACCGGGATGGAAAAGGGCATGGCAGTTTTACAAGAGGGATGATTTTTTTCTTTTCTTAATACGGACCAGCATCTCCTTAAGCCCTTAAGGAGTGTTTCAGCTGGGCAGCCAAAGAGAATAAGGTCACTTACACATATCAGTGCTTTTTAAAGGCACGATAACAAAAAGAGCCTAATTAATTCTAATGGAAAAGAGAAGTTTTGGTACAAACGTCATAAGTGTAAAATGGAGCATGTGGTCCCTTTAATTTACCCCCCCAGAACCTCAGGGTACACAACAACAGACTTCAGTCCACGTCGTCATCTGCGCACTCACTGACCTAAGCTTTCTGAAGCTATGTTTAGCTTTATATCTAGGGTGGGTGATGCAGCCTCGGTGGTGGAGCTTTTTGAATAACCTTGCTGAGTGGCTCCTGCTACGCCTGGGCATGGTGACGCGCGCGCACTAAATCAGAAGGGCCGTGCGCTTCCCAGTGGCAGGTGTAACCACGAAGACAGTGTCCCATGCATCGGTGGGGAAAGCAGGCTTTGGAGAGGAACTATGGCTCTACGTGTGTCGACGTTAGTGCTGTTGCTGTTGATGGTCAGCGCGGTGAATTGGGCTCTCTGCTGGACCTACTCGTGCCCACCGGTTTGCCGGTGCACACTGGACAGAGTGAGCTGCACGAGGCACACGCAAACCCAGACTACATCCAGGGTCAGCAACCTGTGAGTACAAGAATATGAAGATGTAGCCTGAATGAGCTGAGTATGTTTTTAGCTGTTGACAGTTTACGTCACGTCAGTTGCAATGAATTCGAGGCTATTTCAGGGGAAGATTAAGGTTTGCTTGGAATAAAGTGAATATGTTTCAAATTGTCGACGGGTCTCAAAAGTACAGGAAAGTACATTTTGGCTAAGTGAATATGTTTAGAACTACTGACAGTTGGCGTCACCCAAGTTCAGATAAATTACGAAGCTAAAGTCAACTTTTTATTCGCCAGTTTCTGGTTCGAATTTTCCCGGTCCACCTTAAATGGTGCCTCAGGCCAGAATGTGACTGGTGCACTGTTTAAGGTGGAACGGGAAAATTCGAACTAGAAGCTGGTGAGTAGGACGAAAACGTGTGCAGTTAAGGTTTGCCTAAAATTAGCTGAGTGAGCCGGATGTTTCGAACTGTCGACTGTTCTCCTTACAGTTTTAGCAGCTTTAAAAAAAAACAAGTAGGTTAGCAAATTGCCGTTGTCTTTGCTTAGAGGCTTCAGATTGTTTCGAAAGCTTAAAAATACATATAAGTCAAATAAATAGCACATTTCCTTTGTGGAACCATCATCTGTCCTCCTTGTTTTAGCACAGAGTAGCAGTGAGCGTTCATTAACTCATTTAAGAGTCAGTAGCTTCATTAGTATAAACAGAAAGGGGAAGTACACTGATTTTTCAAAATTCAGTGGTTGAGATATACACAGTCATTAGAGTGGTTTGGCGTGAAATGATTCATTGTAGAGACTCAGATTTCTTTGTGGTGATAGTAACCAAGGGTCTCAATGACTACAACATAAATATATCCATTTTATTTACTACTCAAAACCACCAGTGAACTTACACGAGATTTTATATGTATTAATGGGGATGGCAACATAGTGGTCAATATGAAACACAAAACTACCGTAAAACAATGAGGGAGCTTTTAGCATTGAACTCCTCAGACGGCTGGTTCCTATCACCATTGTTATGAACAGGTCTGACTCAGCAGGTTTCTCTAGAATGGAGCATTTCACACCAAACCACTCTGAATGAGTTTGTTTACATCTTAACCATTTAATCATACAGAAAATTTCAAAACTTGGTGGAGTTCCCCTTTTAAGTGTTACCAGTACCACACAGGACTAATGACAAGGTATATTACTATATAGCTACCACATAATTGGCCATGTGTTACAAAGCCCTGTATGCCTTAGACTTAATGCTGGGTTGTTCAGTGAAAGTCAAGGAGAATTCCCCATTTATTTTTTAATTGCTGAGATGAAAACAAAGTCATTCAGAATAGTTTGCTGTGAAGTAGGGCACTGTGGAGAAATTTGCTGGCTCTAATTCTTTCAGAGGTGGTGAAGTCTACAGCACAAATATTTAAAATGGCCATTTTATTTACTATATAAAATGATCATTGAGCATAGACAATTGTTTTTGTGTAATGCTGATAATGTTAGCTGCAGCAAATCAAGAAAAGCTTTTTTTTGAGACTATTTTGCCATACAACTCTGCATGTATCTCTCCACCATGGACAGCTTGAAAAAAATTGATTTAGAGAAAACTCTTATCTCATAACTATAGTAAGACAAAGTCTTAGGCTCCAGGCAATATATTCCATTTTGTGCAAGTAACTTTCTTTGAGGTACCTTTCAGAGCAGGGGTGTCCAATCTTATCTGCAAAGGGCCGGTGTGGCTGCAAGTTTTCAAACACCTGATTCCACTTGTTTAATCAATTGCTAAGCCTTCAAAACTACTGGTCATGTGCAGTCCTGCTTTGTTGGAATGAAAACCTGCAGCCACACCGGCCTCTTGCTGATAAGATTAGACACCCCTGTGTTAGAGGCAGTAAACACTTCAGACATCCTGTCTGTGATGAACTGTCTGTAGAAATTTTAATGTTTTAATACTCCCTCATTGAGTGAATGTTGGTTGCCTGAAAGTAGATTAATGTTTCAGACTCTCAACAGTTAAATATTTGCAATGTTCTTGTATTTACAGAAGACTTATGCATCTGCCTTTCAAAGAGGTGCTGAGCAGAACGTTCAAAGGTCTGGTCAACGTGTCAAGAATGTAAGTTCTATTGTTCTATTTTTGTGATTTTTGATATAATAAAATGTGCAAGCTACTAATTAAGAAGCATCAGCAACAGAACAGCACACCAGGTGCCATCACTAATAGAACAGAAAAAAGGATTAAGGAACTCATTATGAGGGAATTTAATATGAAGCACTGAGTAAAAAGTACTTTCATTTCCTCAGAAATACACTTAAGCAGAAGTAAAAGTTGAATGAATTTAAATACATGTATTTTCTGCCCACTCTTGTTCAGAAATAAATGCAAAAGACATGTTTTGGTATGATCATATCACTTGGAACTGGCATTTCTCCCACTGTACTTTTTAGCCACATTATTTTTTTATGTAACAAGTGTGCTTTCAAGCCATTAGTACAGTGTGTTTTGTCAAGGACGTTCATACAGATACAAAATAGCTGAGTTTAACAATATAAATGAAAAGGCTTGCTACTTTTCAACCCTCAGTCGCAGTTTCTCTATCATTTGTCAGATTAGGTGCTGTCATTTACAATATTTCTTTCAAGCAGTAATAGCCATTGCATTTCCTTTGGGATCCTTTGGGAGTATCTCTCTATCTCTCTATCTATCTCTCTATCTAGCTATCTATCTAGCCATCTAACTTGATGCGAGAGTACTGAACCACCCATTTTATTGATTTCACTTAGCCAAATCACTATATTATATGAGCAAGCCAGTGGAGTGAGTAGCAGACCTGCTATATACACACACATATATGAGATTCATTCACATATATATATGCTGTCGGAAGAAAACCTTGTATCTCCATTTTTGTCGTTTTTTAGTTTTTGGCAATTTGAAAATACCTGTTGCCCTTTACATTGTATGTAAATTTCATGATGAATGGACCAAAAGAAATGGCACAAAAGTACTTGGAAAATGTCTGGTTCCATTGACTTACATTAAAAGTAAAGTAGGTTTTCTCTTTTTCTTGTTCTCATTTTGGAGATACAAGGTTTTCTTCTGACAACAGCTATATATATATATATATATATATATATATATATATATATTTATATATAAAGTACTTTATTACTGAAAAGACATTTACATTTATGATCTGCTCCTCTCATGCCTGGTGAACATGAAAGCTAGCTTGCAAATTGTATAATGTCAGGCTAACATTATTAATGTTGAATATTTTCCAAAGGTTTGCAGGTCTGCGTTAACACAATTTCAACTTCCCACATCCATCCAATCCCAGACCATTAACCTTTGCAAAGGAGTTAAAAGCACCATCCTCCCTTTTGAAAAAAGCCAGACGGAGTATAGAAGGGGAATGAGAGGGATAAAACCTATTTTGTATTGCTGTCAATTTGCAGGCTCTTGAAATGATAGATGTTGCGTCGTTATAATTTTGGGGGGAATTAACTGTGTACTGCAAATGCAAAATTAACTTACAGGTGTCACCAGCTTTTTGCATAGAGTAACAATCATACCAATGTATTTTGATGTCAAAATGGGCACCTGCTACGCACAATGTATAGAGTTTTGCATGTCTGGAGTAGGCCAATATTCCTTAAAATGAATGCTTTAAAACTAATAAACCTAATGAACTCCCTACTGATACATTTAGTCACTGCCTTCAGAAGTCCTTGATTAGCTGATTAGGTGTGCTAGATTTGAGTTTGCGTTTCCTGGTCTCCTGGAAGTTAGAGCAAGCTAAGAGTGAAAGAGGAGAACAGTGCACAGTGGCAGTTTTGCAAAGAGTTACTGTATAACAATATGTTTATTGAAATATGAACCAAAATGAGTTATTTAAAATTGAAAAAGTGAAAAAAAGTCTGATGTTAATTTGATCTAATATGCAGTGACATGGTGGGCTACAAAACCATAAATCAACAGAGTAATCTTAGTCTGCATTAAAGTAAGAGTAAACAAGCTGGGTGTGGGTTAACAAGCTGGTTGTTATAATATGCTGTTCACTTTAGGAGACATTCAGTAACCTCTTCTCAATAATCCTCTGTAATTTGTTTCAGTTGAAAAGGCAATTATGCCACCGGTTACATTCTCAAAGAGCGAGGAGGGCATTACATCTCCACGGACCTAAGAACACATTTAAATTTTCTTAAGTGGTTCTTGATTGCATAGGACTATTCTGTAATGAACTGAAATGAAGGCAACTGCATTAGTGAAGAGTTGAGGAGGACAAAAAGCTAAGGATAGAACCATCAAGGGCGTGTCACAGAGCTATTCATCTTTTCATGCTGATCTTTTGGCTTGTTTAGAAACCAAAATAAATCTACTAAAATTCTACTACTAATTGTACTAAAAATTCTATTTGTGCTGCAGTGAAATTTCCCAGAGTGACTCAATCAGGAAAATACAAAGTGAGGCATTTCTTTCCATCCACAGCCTGGTAGAAATGTAAGTCTTTTTTTTGTGGTTCAGTTAGTCAGTCATAGGGATGTCTGTACCTTCTACAGCAGCCCCAAAACGTATGTGGACACTAACCATTTATCTATCTTTAGGTTAATTCATAAAATGTTTCAATAAATGATATTTGAGAGAAAACCACCTTTAGCACAACATCAGACTGATGACATCTGACTCTTTGTGTGGAGAAAGCCTGCAGAAGAATTTTAACCAGGCTGTACAAGGGGTACTGTAAAGCACTGAAAAGATATTCAAAAGCACAAAAGCATTTTGGATCCAAACCATCAGAAGTCTGGATAGAAAATGTTCCAGATCTGAAACATGTCAGCCACCTTTTAAAAGCAGACTTAAAATAAGTGCCACTTGATTTGACAATTTGTTTCCTGACACACTGAAAGTAATACTTTTTAAGCAGGGCACAAATGTCTATATATTTTGGGGCTACTGTATGTTTGCAGTTTAATATAGAAAATATGTTTTATAATCACTACAAAACTGTTGAATGGATAACACTTTAAGTGTGTTTGACCATTTTTTTCCTTGCTTTGTTTTCCAGCTCAATACAGAATATCAACCAACTGATGGTCGTGGAAAATGGCGCCTTCACAGACTTGCCCAAATTAAGATACCTGTAAGACAATTTTGTCAACTACCAAGAGCCCTGGTTTTACAGTGAAAATATAGTCATGTTTCATAAGATACGCTCTTATTTCTGCCTGGTTTGCTTTGTTTAGGAGTATCTGTAACACAGGACTGAGGCATTTCCCAGACCTTTCTACCATCTCTTCAATGGAGTTATATTTCTTCCTGTGAGTAATCGTGTTCCTTTGTAATTTGGGGGGCAGAGATTTAAGCCAGTGGCCCACCAACAGCACCAGCAGAGCTGCAGTACATATCTTTGGATTTAAGCCCAGCTCAGCTAATAAAGTGCTAAGGCACTCAATGTTAATTGCACATAAATATAGCTCTGGTGACTGTTAAAAGGAAAGTAAAAACCCTCATTAATTTTCCCATTCAAAAGTCTATTCACACTACAACTTGCTTAGTTTACAGATGTGAAGTTGAATATCAATACAAAACATATTAAAGCTGTGATCATTCCCACCTTATCTTGTTTCATTATCTCTTTTTCTTTCATGTGAAGGGAAATTGGAGACAACATGCAAGTAAAGAGCATACCAGCCAATGCGTTTCAAGGCATATCCAAGGAGCACATGTACATGTGGGTATAAAAGAAAAGCTCAGGATTGCATGTGGCTGTATTTGACCATAATATCCACCCAAATGTCAAAATACACTTTAAAACAGTTGCTGCACAATAATGCTCACCTAATGAGAGAACAAGCATATTTTTATGCTATATTTAACTTAATTAAATTCTTGTTTTCCTTCTAAAATTGTATTTTTAAAAGTATTTCAGTAACAAAACATAGAGAAATGTTTAAAACAAAATACATCTTTATTTGTGTACTCTTTTGCATTTTTGACCCTTGGTCCACTGCAAACATTGCACTTTGGCCCCTCTAATACAAAATGTTTGGGCAACCCAGTCTAAATAAAAACGTAAGGACTGAAAGTTTTTTTTTTCCTCTCTTGGAAATTAGTCAAAGTACTGAATTTGAATAATTCTTAAGACAAATTTTCCAAAATAATACTTAGTATTAGTAGCAAAGTATTTTCCATTTCTGTCAAATGACCAAGAACTGCCAGTGCATCCAAACATCTACTACACACTCCTGCAATTTAAGAATAACTGCAACCAGTTTGCACTGTAATTTGTGTAGTTACAGAATTATAAGCCTGAGCATGTAATAAGCCTGAGATTTCAAGAGATTAACGATAGTTCCAGAACAGTTTTTGTGGAGTTATATAATTATTTAGGACCCAGGAAAAACCCTTGGGTTCTTTAGGAACTGTTGAGCCAAGGCTCATAGCCAAGATGTAGCTTTCTTCATAAACATAAATTGGCTCATTTTAGTGAGGAAAGGGTTTTGGTATTGTTTAGACCTGTATTTCCACTAAAAACTGTTTTAGAGTTGTAGCAGTTCCTAAGTGGGGCTTTAAATGATGGTCAACACTGTAAGATACACAAAATATATATAGAAAAGCCACTCGTGATAAAGGGTCTGAGAATTGATGTTTTTCCAGTACTAGAAACAGACTTTCATGTCTGATACATTTACAAAATTAACTACACTGAAAATTTCACATTTTAACATTTGTTTCATTGCATCTTTTTCTTAGGAATCTTGTCAGGAATGGATTTACAGAGATCAAATCTCATGCTTTTAATGGGTCCAAACTGGATAAGCTGTACGTATATCTCTTATCAGTGCGGAAAGCTTCTTTCTTTCAGACCCATCACTTTCAGACATGTTTACAAGAAGCAGCCTCTATTGTCTCCAAATAAGTGGTAGCATCAGTTGTTTGTATTGTGGTTGAAGGTTCAGGCTAATCAAAGGAACATACTGTACGGGTAAATAATTATTAAAAGAGACAAAACATTGAGCGCTGCAGTGTTTTGTTAACCATGTACACTTTGGTATCTTGCCACAAAGAATAAATAAAACATACAACTGTCTGTCAGTGTATTGTTCTTAACATACAATCTTTGGATGCAGTTACAATCCACAGTAATGAGGTTAAGGTTATAGTAACAAATGAATTTTCATGTTGTGTTGCATTTTGTTGTATTTTTAAAGTAGAAATAAACTGAAACTGGTTATTTTTTTCACTTATTAGAATTCTGAAAGACAACAGGCATCTTAGTGAAATCCATGATGATGCTTTTGAAGGGGCTACAGGACCAAATATGCTGTAAGTAAACTTTAATCTTAGACTGTGTGGTAATATGTGAAAAACGTTCTAACACAGTATGTGGTACACATTCCGAAAGGAATTAAGGAACATCTTAACAGCGGAAATCTGTAAATAACTGTAATGCTCATGACCTCTCAGTTTGGTATCGTTTAGGGAAAAATAACAAATTAAAGAGCATGTAGAAATTAACTGCACCACAACTGAACTGTTACTAAAGTCACATTTATTGAAAAAATACATATTAAAAGTTCCTATCTGTTGGCCAAGGTCTGTGTATTCACAGGGAGCAGAGCAGCCCAGCCAGTGTCATCCTGAACTTTAGCCTTGGTATGAAAGAGCCAAGAGCCCATTCTACAGGGTCATATTAAAGAAGAACAAAAAGTATTCATTGTGCCTGTCACATAATGAAGAACATTAGCGCAATTTTACTTAGCAACCCAGTGGAGTATCACTGTGAACTCATTGCACTTTTTAAGCTGTAACAAATTTAAAATCTGAATATTTATGATCTTGCTAGAGAGATTTCAGAGTGAGAGGTTACATTACAAAGCCCATAAGGTCACTATTATGTCTTATCACCCACACTGCGGTGAAATAATTTTCGTTTCTCAATAAATGTGTCAGGAAGTCTTGCACACTGTTATGCTGTGATGCTATACTTGGTCTGGTTCCACCACTCTTCAGTATCAGTCTGACTACATCTTTAGAAAGTCATCTGTCATACTGTACTAGCATAACGTTCACTGGAGAGAACTCCTAAACAACCACCTGTTAATAAAATTTGACAGAATAAAGGTGTAGTTCCTCCGTTCCCCTGCCAAACAACTGAACAAAATATTTGTAGTATTTAAATATATAATCACAAACATATTTCTGTAATATACTTTTGAATCACACATTTTGTGTTTACAGATGTTTAGATAAACAGCACTGTGCAAAAGTCAGAGACCACCATTCATTTATTTAATTTTCAGTCAAAACATCCAAGAAGTTATTTGTTTTTCAGCATTAGGGAAAAAAAAGCATACATTTACCAGGACATTCACTCTTTGCCTTTAATACATCTTCCATTCTTTTCAGGAGACCTGCTTTCGGTTTTTTGTCTGCAGGGATATTTTTCCACACCTCTAAAGTTCAGTCTTAGAAGTTGTTTGCATTTTCTGCTTCTCACAATCCAAGTAATCCCAAACACATTCAGTAATGCTGATGTCTGTACTCTGCGGTGGCCAGTCCATAGTTCTGAGAATGCCAGCAAATTTTTTTGTTTGATTTGAAAATTTTCTCCTTTCTTTTAATCTACTTCCTTTTCTTAGTAACAACTTCTTGACAGCTACACATCCTTTCAGACCCATAGTGTTGTGGTGTCTTCATACAGTGGAAGGATGGACAAAAACACCTGTGGATCTGAAGCAAGAGTGGAGCTTGAATTCCTCCTTTCTCTTAAAGATGAAAGCTTACAGTGCTGTTTACCTGATGGTAACAGTTCTGGTGGTCTACCAGGTCATGCGTGGTTGTTAAGAGTTCCATTTTCTCTATAGCTTTTAATTATTGTTTTGAAATGTTGAAACTGTTTTTTCACTTATTTTCTTTGACTTTTTCTTACCTTATGCAAGTGAGTTATCTTACATCTGATCTCCTCAGAAATAGCTCCTGAAAATGAGTAACTTGAACTTAATGACCATTTAAACTAGAAATTAAATGAATGAAGGGTGGTCTCTGGCTTTTGCAAAGTACTGTAGAGTCCAACTATGCTTTAAAATGCATGTTTACTTGTATGTTTGTAGAGATGTGTCATCCACTGCTCTCCGTGCACTGCCTAAACGGGGTCTGAGAGAGGTGACGGTTCTGATAGCTCAGTCAGCACCTGCTCTTAAGACCCTACCCCCACTTGAGAACCTTCTAAACCTACAAGAAGCTGACCTGACCTACCCCAGCCACTGTTGTGCCTTCCACACCTGGAGAACCAACAACAGGTCTGATCTAGAATGTCTAATTGGAAAATGATATACACAAAAGAGTTGCTAGATACACCTATCTGCACATGAAAAAGTGAACACCGTTGATCAGATATTTGGGTGGTGGGCCATTCACAGCACAGTAGTGACACCTTAATTGTTGGTACACCTGGTAGGTGAACAGTAATAAACAGTAGTGACTACTGTTGACATGATAGTTGTGGTTGGTGGACTATTCTCAACCTAGCAGTGATGATGAGGTCTTTAAAAATCCCAGCAATACTTTTCTACCTGATAGAATCATTCCAGCTCAACCACCACCATGCCACTACCATGTCGTGCCACTGCTGTGGTCCACTACTCAGTATTTGGTCAGTGGTGGTCCTATGGTGTTTTCTTTCCATTGAAGAATGAGCTAGAGTGGCTGATAAATTAAACAGCAATAGATCTACAGTCAGTAGCTGTAAACCAACAATGAAGTGCACCTAAATAATGTGTGTTTCTGATAAAATGGCCATTGAGTGTAGATTTGGGCGTTCTCAGTAAAGGTCTACACAGAATCTTCTTTTATTTTGAAACTAGACACCCTGCAGAACATGCCAAGCACAAGAAACTCTCAAACCAGTCACTCTTAAAACAGTCTTGATTGTGTATTAAACTTATAATTAACAACAATATGAACAAGAGTTGAGAAATACGTTTGACACCCTATCATTTTGTCCCCATCTAGGGAGAACGCTGTATTCGGTCGCTTCAGGAACCTAACTAAGCTATGTGATATGGACAGCCAACCAAATATCATGTAAGACAAAAGCAGTGTCATCTTTCTTTATAATATTACATTTAACGTGACTGAATAGTCATCTTGTTAATGGAAACTACTTATACTTTATATATATATATATATATATATATATATATATATATATATATATATTTTCTTCTCCTCAGGGACCCATCAGCTGAAGACCTGTCTGACCTTTACAACATCAATTTTCACTACCCTGATTTGGACTTGTGTGTCAGCAGCAGTTCATTCAGATGTACCCCAGAACCTGATGCCTTCAACCCCTGTGAGGACTTGCTGGGTTCTGGCTTCCTGCGCTCTGTTACTTGGATCATCACCATCTTCGCTGTCCTAGGGAACCTGGCTGTGCTGATCGTCCTGCTTGTGAGCCACCAGAAGCTGATCGTCTCTAGGTTCCTCATGTGCAACCTGGCCTTTGCTGACCTGTGCATGGGCCTCTACCTGCTATTGATTGCCTTGGTGGACTACCGCTCCCGTCGAGAGTATTATAACCATGCCACAGACTGGCAGACAGGGTTTGGATGTGGAGTAGCTGGCTTTTTAACTGTCTTTGCAAGCGAGCTGTCAGTCTATACTCTGACCATGATTACCCTGGAGCGCTGGCACACCATTACCTATGCTATGCAGAAGAATAGGAGACTAAGACTGCGCCATATGGTGACCGTGATGGCAGTTGGCTGGGCCTTTTCTCTTCTTGTAGCTCTGCTTCCTGTGCTCGGTGTGAGCAGCTACACTAAAGTAAGCATTTGCCTGCCAATGGACATTGAAACCCCAGTTTCACAGGGTTACGTGGTAGCTGTGCTGGTCTTAAATGTGGCAGCTTTTTTAATAGTATGCTCCTGCTACCTTGGTATTTATTTAAGCGTGCGCAACCCAAACGTAGCAACGCGCCACGGAGACACAAGGATAGCCAAGCGAATGGCAGTGCTCATCTTCACTGACTTCTTATGTATGGCACCCATCTCGTTTTTTGCCATTTCAGCTGCCTTGCGCATGCCATTGATCACAGTCTCCCAATCCAAATTCCTCCTTATACTTTTCTACCCTATCAATTCACTGTGCAACCCATTCCTTTACACCATATTCACAAGAGCCTTCCGCAAGGACATGTATCTGCTTTTAAGCCGCTGTGGCTGCTGCCAGACACAAGCCGAATTTTACAGAGTGCAAGGTCTCTCGGTAGTTACCTTGGCTTCCAAGAACAAGAGCTCCAAGAAGGCTCATTCAAACCAGTTTCACGCATACCACATCAAGCTGCGGGGCTGCTTCTTCAACAAAGATGCAACGTGAGGCTTATATTTCAAAACATGGACTGATTAACTGCTCCACAGCAGCATTCTGTATATATCTTTTCATACTGTGAATATATACACTACAAACTGTAAATGCTTTTTATAATTTTATTTAACTTGTTATTTAAATTTTTTTTACTTGGTCTTTTACTTCCTGTGCACAGGGTGTTTTTTTTTGAAAGGAGAGTTGTTTTTAACTGGATTTTTTTTCTGTACAAATAAAATCAATTTGTTTCTACACTTTTTCCATGCTTTATTAAGTAAAAAAAAAAAGACTCCATTTTCTTCTGTCATTTGCTAACTAGTTCCTGCTCAACTCAGTCATAATCTGATAATCCTGCAACATACCACAGTCACGCTCCTCAGAGACAGCAAAAGGTATGTTTTTGATCATGCATTTCATCTGTTTTTTTTAATAATGCACCTGCATGGCTGTTTAAAATTAATACTCTTCTCTGACATTGATATTTTGCCACCATTCAAACTGTATTTAGTGCCAATATAATGTCGTGTGCTGCTTTCACATCTGCCCAATGCAAAGACACTTCATGGGCTTTATTGTAAGCTACACTTTGTACCACTGAAGAGTAAAAACTAGCACAATGGAATATAAAACTAAATTATTTCCAGGTGGTGTTTTTGTGTTTTGTTACAAATGCACTTGCCCATAATTCTTTGTCGCAGTGGGTCAAAATGTGGGACTGCCTTTACACTGTGTAACCATTTCATGATAAATGGATCAACAGAAACCTTCCAGAATAACATGGAATGTGGAATAAAATCTCTTTACATTAACTTTATCATTAAATGTTAATAACATTTTTGCCTTCTTCTTAGGGGTGTAACAACACTCTCAGCCCACAATTCAATGTGATTCCCAGTACTGAGTCCACGATTCAGTATTCTTAATATATTTTTAACAAAATTTGAACAAAGGAAGATGAATTGATGTTGAATGATGTTGCACAGCTTACTAACAACACTAGAGCTGGGAGACAGGAGGATTGCTGGAGTAAAGTGCTGACTGGTGCTGATAGCATATGTTGGTGTTTAAACAATGTCATTGCATTAAATGGTGTAATTAACAGAATGTCCAAGCTCCACGAGACATGGATACAGTTCTGCATTGCGATATTACAATCTAACCATGCACTGTTACACTCCTACTTCTATACAGTTATCATTTTGGAGATACATGTTTAAGCACAACAACGATGTGCGGGAATAACCACTCCTCACTTACTTGTGTTTAATGTGAGAAGACAAGTCATAAAGCAATAATGTCCTGGTTTTGCCTGAAGCACACAATAAGCTGCCCTCAGTCTTGACAATCAATGAATGCCATCTAATGTGTCCTATTCACACACATCCTGGATTTAAAATTAGCCTACTACAGCTAGAGTAAGGCAAATAACGTTAGTTATTCACCAAAAATAAGAGTATCCCAAAACCTGACATCCAGTGCAAGACCTTTAAAGTGAATTCTAGTCTTTAAATAATTTTGAATAAAAGAGACACAAGTTTAGTTTTGTCTGCAGTGTGTTTCATTCAATCTGTGAGAGCAACCCAAAACCAAGAATTAAACATTGTTCAAGCCTTTTAGTCCATTTCTTTATGCATTTTGGAGCAACAACACCCGTGTAACCCATTGAAAAAATAAATAAATAGGATTTTCATACAGTGTGGAAATTTTCAGAACCCCAGCACATTAGCATGAAGCAAGACAAATGCTTCTAAAGCAGACCTTATAAGTCTGCAAGCTAGCAAACAGGGCTGTGAAATAACAAAACCAAAATATATTCAAAGCCAGCCGGTATATTAACTAACAAGAATGTTCTTCTTGCTTAAATAGCATCATATACTGTATCCTTCACCCACTTCTGTAAAGGCTGTTACGATTTGTCCCATCTCACCACTCCGCTTCCCCGACGGCTTTGGAGAAAACATAGTCCTTCCCGCTGTAGCACATAACTCCGTCTTTCAGATAGAACTTCCATCTGTTTTTACTGCGGTGAATCTGCCACAAAATATATTAGGATTAAAGGTTAATACCGATGCTAATAATAATAAACAACTTTGCTATTGGTCTTCATTATTCTAATCAATTGTATTTCACCTACATATTGCTTTTGACTAAAGACTATCACAAAAAAAGACAAAGCACAATAAAACCCAGCCAAAGCCCAAGGCTCCACAGTAGCTCTTACCTTATCATACTGGCAAACAATGACGTTCTCTGTGTCAAAGATCTCGGGAATATCCTGCTCACTCACATCGTCACCAGAATTCAGTGGATCCTAGACAGGACAAGCAATGTAAACAGCAGCTAAAACATGTTCACCCCCTCTATCCCTTTTCACACTTAGTCTCAAAGCTAAAAAAAATGAGCAGAAAATATTAAACAGAACAATCATTTAAAATGTACAGTTTAATTTTGAAGTACAATAAAAAGCTACCATTCATCTTGAGATAATGGCCTGGAATATGCTGAGCACTGAAGAAAACAAAGACAATGAGCTCATGCCACTTTGGCTCTGTGTGTTCTACTTTGTTCAAGTAGAACACAAATCTTACAGTCAGGAATAATTAAATTGGTAGACTCCATCATTCATAAACAGCTGGTGCTGGAATCGTGTCAGAAGACAGATGAGCACATTCTAAAACTGATTACACTTATACTTTCTTTCAAAGTCTAACATAAATAAAACAACATGAGCTGGCCGTTCAGAAATTATGTAAATTATTATGGCAGTAAAGCATTCTAGATGACTCAAATAATTTTTTTTACTTGATGCACACATTATTATTGCATAACGCTGCTGTCTGAACAAAACCTTTTATCTCCAAAATGGTAACTTTACAGGAGAAGGAAAAAACATACTGTAATTTTAATGTAAGTCAATGGAACCGGACTTCATTTAAAAATGAAGCACAATGCAAAAAGCAACAGGCATTTCAAATTATGCCGAAAACTGAAAAATGACAAATTTGGTGATACAAGGTTTTGTTCCAATAGCAGTGATGAGTAATATGATTGGTGCATAAAAGGGTTTACAAGATGAAGACTAAAAAGGGGAAAAAAAAACACCAAAATAAGTATCCACAATATACATAATATACGTATATCCACATCTCTGCTGTACTTTGGTATTCTTCAATATGCAGCCATACTGTAACCTATACTATTTAGTAGACTATGCTGCAGTTTCCTAGACAGGAATTAAGTCTAGTCCTAGTGCATATTCCTTTTTTGCCCCCTTTTTTCCCCATTTTCAAAGTATATAATATACACCTTGTCCTGAATTGAATTTTGGTTTCCCCCATTAAAATGTGACTAAACTTTTTAAAGGCTTTTGTGTTTAGTGAAAGGAAAGCGTAATAGGACATTAATGTGATTTGGAGTTAGAATGCCATGAGGGTGCAAGTTTTAAAACAAGTTTTTTTTGTGTTTTAAAGTAAACAATAAAACTGGAAATGTTTTCCAAATGGTATACCAGCTCATAACTAACCTTTTGCAGAATGGAAACTGAATGGAACATCTACATATTTTACGCATATAGATTGCTTCTGGGTTGCCCTCACCTCCTCCTGCACCTCCTCGATATCAGGCTCATCAACGTCACTGCTGGAGCTTACGCTGGTGTCGGTACTGGCCCCAGCACCCTGAAGAGCTTTCAAAGCCTCTGCATTGATGATGCCCAGAAACTCGTTCTCTCCAACAGCCCCTTGATCTTCCTCGTCCTGCTCCTGCTCTTCCTCTCCAGCCTCAGAGCTGCTGTCGCATGCACCATCGAGCTGCACTATGCTGGCCAATTCATTGAAGTTGTAGTCCCTCAGGAGCTCCATCTCAAGCTGAGAAGAAATCAGCAAAGCCTGATCATTTTCCCCAGTACCTATACACTATAAATCTGTGCACTACATTAGCAAAAGCTAGCACTCCCCCCCAAAAAACTTAATAATGTTAAAGAAAGGGTATTGATTTTTTTTGTTTTATGATTGTTGAACACTATTATACAGCAGTGGCTTTTGGATTTAAGTAAATCGTATCATCTTTGAGAATTCACATCAGCAGAAATCAGACCACTGCACATACCATGACGAAACAAACCCTAACCAGAGAAAAAGATTTAAAGAGCTAAAGAGAGTTGACTATAAGGATCATAACAGTATTTCCCACAGGTCTTAAATAAACCTGGACACTGAAGCGAGCTTGTGGGGTGGTATTCTAAACTAATTTCCAAACTCATTAGAATGTGCCTTTTTACTTTAATTGGATATTCATATAAGGCATGTATGATTTAGATTTATTGAAACACAAGCAGCTGATTTTATGTCACATTACGTTTGTTCATAAAGATAAACAGTTTGAAAATTGTTAAGATGGAACAAAATATACTTGTGGTTGTTAACATATTTGGGTCTGTATGTTTGAAACACTGCATACTTTTTTTCTGCTTTAACAATATTCCCCTTGCTGCTGGTAATGGTTTTATTCTCTTATATCTGATGACACAATCATGTATGCCACTTTGTCTTCTCAATGCTCCAGGATAGCTTCCTCCAGCTTTGAAATGCCTTTACTAATCTTAAAATCTCATTAAACATTTCTAAGACTGAAATCATGTCAGAAGGGACAACTGTCCCCATTTTTAAACTCACTAACAGTGAGGGAGCCAACCTGGAACAGCTTACAACTTATAAGACAGTTAATCATCCTTATCTCACTATTACCAAACCACAGTCAAAGATTAAGGCCTAGCTTATTTTTTTTAGACACTGTTCCTCTTTTACTTATGCTGCCAAAATCATTCCATATGATTCCAAATGACTTTACGTCCTATGGCTTATTATGGGGATGCAGTTTACAAAGATGCACTTCAGAAGCTTGGTGTTCTTCATGCTGCTGTCTGTTTTACTACAAATGCCCTTCTTAGAACACATCACTGCTCTCTTTACTCTCTGGTGTGCTGGCCCTCCTTATGCAGCAATAAACACTAATTTATAAGTCTCTCCTGGGCCAGATATCTCCTAGGCATCAGGTAATAACTTGCATCACGATAACTTGAAAGTTCATAGAACGAATATTTCTTTCGGCTCTTAATTACAGTTTGCAGCCGCAGTTTGAATACATTATAAAAAACATTAAAATTAGAATAATTTCTATGTTTAAGAGTAATACAAAATACATTTTTATCGATACATGAACCTGCTTCTCTATTAATTAACTATTTTAGGCTCTTGTCTGTCACAGTTAATTTTTAGTGGTGTTTGTTATTTTGTCAACATTTTTATTTGTAATTGACTGTTATTGAGCTTTTTCATTGTTATTCTATTGTGTGTCTCCCTCAAGTAGTTTCTGATGCTTGCCAGGTCTTAATGACATGCCTGGTTAATTTAAGGGTTAAAGAATTGATGACATACTGCATATTCAGAATATCTCTATTTACAACTCTACAGTCTACATTTACCTTAAGTGCACCGTCAGGTGTTCTTTCCAAGTCTGGCAGAAGACTCACAGTGTCATTAGTGCTGGCCATGGCTGCAGCTTCCTCCTCTGCTTTAACAGCTCTCTCCACCATCTCCTGCGCGCTGGCTCCAAACTCCAACACCTGCACATTCCCTGAACCTCCCTGCAGGCCCACAGGCAGCTGTGTGGACAGTGGCGAGGACACGCTCATATCCACCGGCTGGGGGCTGAACTCGATGCCGTCCAGAGTGAACTCGCTTGGACTTTCTAGAGGTGACTGCGAGGGCTGGTGATTAATGGAAGGCTCGGGGGTTACAGGGACAGGGGGCTGAATACTTTGATCCAGAGGGATATTAGGATGCTGGGGCAGCTGGCTCTGGTGGTGTGATGGAAGGACTGTTCGGGAGGCTTGAGGTACAGGCAGAGTTTGGGGACACAAGCCAGTCACCTGGGTAGGGATGTTATGAATGATGGCGGTGGGCAAATTTCTCTGCTCCTCAAGGGGTTTATTAGCCTGGGCAGAGACACGCTGACAACTTGGAGCCTGGGTCACCATTACAGGAACATTGACCTTGTACAAATGACCTGTGGGTATTACATAAAAGACCAATCAGAGAATATGTGAGGACTTCTGAAAACACTCTTCCAATACTGATCAACTATAACAACAAATTTTGATTCTTTACATCTCTGCAGTTCACTTTCCTTGACGTTTTGCATTTGTTGTTAAAGAGCCCATATTATGGAAAAAAATCAAAATTATCTGACAGTCTGACACAGTATGTAAATGCTATTATAGTTTCAAAACATACTGTGTACTCCCCAGTCTGTACATGGAAATTAAGCTGGAAAAACAGAATTGCACTAATACCAGCTTATTTACATATTTTCAGCCTACAACAGTTTAGATCTGTCCATTCACGCTGTAGTTATACAGAATGTTTAAGGCAAAACTGTTTTTTAAACGAGGCACAATCAGAATAATTTGCACGTATCAGTCTTAAAGGCACAATAACAAACCAACAACCAGTTTATTTTTTAAGGGATGTAGAGAAATTGGAAAATGGCCATGTAAAAATAAATTATGACCATTCTTGGTACATAAACCCACACAAATATTATAAGTGAACCTCGGGGAAAATATAAAACACAAGAAAAATGTATGAAACAAGCCCTTTAAAACTCACATTCTACTACAACTGGATTCTGTGGACAAGACTTTATACTGAAGTAGCTACAGAGAGCCTAGTACAAGTTGACATGCTGCCCAGCAGAGTTCCAATGCTAATATATTACATTTGGCTTTACGTATAGATCAGTATCTCAGCCCCAGTTCTGGCAGTTAATATTTTCCATGCTTCAATACATCCACTCTTTAGCCAATCACTACATTCAAGAGTTTGAATTATGTGTGGTAAATAAGAAAGGACATAGGAGATGTACAGGACTAGAAATGAAAAAAAAACAAAAACATTAATTAATCCCCTTGAAAGCTAAAATCTTCCAAGAACAAGTATGGGCAGGTTATTGGGTTACAAATCTTACCTGAGGCAGTCTGTAGGGTCACTCCTGCAGGGATATGAACAGGATAGGTGACTCCAGGCGGAAGGGAAAATGTTGCGATAGTGCCAGTTTGGCTCTGCAAGGAAAATTCAAACATAATTAAAAAAAAATAAATCATAATATAACGTGCCACATGTGCACAGGCAACATTTTATGGTATGTTTATCTTAAACTTAGCAAATAAACAGTAAATGTGCATTAAATTGTGCTCTTGGTAGAGGATGTGTACTTATTTTTAACAAAACATATCATCTGACAAAACTTAAAAAAAATATATATTTTTTTTTTGGTGACCCACCAGGCATAATGCAAATAATGAAAAGATAAAGTTGCACTCTGTGTTAACATTGTGGATATAAATTAGATGGGAATACGTTCCCTTTTACAATACCGACATAATAACATGATCAGTTACAGAACATCTTGCGATATATATTCTGATCAGTTTGTAGTAACAATTTAGACCAAACTTCAAAAATAACAGACAAACCTTTCTCAAATTAAACAATCAGAAAAAGGAAAATAGAAGGTGGTCACTGATGTTCATACATCTTCATGCCACAAGACCACACCATCTTCAACAAAGGCTTAGGTTCAATGACTGTTTGTATGATTACAGTGCTTTCCAAGGAACACGCTGATTTTATGAACTTTGTTAAAATAGAACAATGCAATTTTGCAGGTTTAAACTGAGTTCTCGGGTAATTTTTCAGCTGCTGAATGATTTTTTTTTTCATTTTAAGGGAAAAAAGGCTTATTTATATAGGGTAATTAGAGAGACAAAAAAATACATATCACTTACTGATTTTGTAGTGAAACTCTGTGCATGTTGCCCAGCAGGAATGACAACTGAAGCTGAAAAAAGTACAAAATATTTTCAGACGCTAGAGGCCAAGACTGAATCTCAAATGGGCCCCAACTCCCTACATAGCACACTACACAGGAATTAAAATACTGGCTTCTGCGCCCAGACAGTGCATAATGTCTCCCAAATAGCCATGTGGGATTCAACCACATGTGCACAACTCCATATTTGACAAGCAGAGCACTGTGAATTTCATGACTTACTTAGCGCACTGTACAGCCATCTAAGATTCAGCCCAAGTGTCTGACAAGTGAATATTTTCAATGGGATGATCAGTTTATCTGCTTAAAGCTAAATACATTTATACATTTGGTCTCAATTAATATCCGTGACTCTGACATAAACTGAATACATCCTCTTGGTCATTAAAGGGCACTTATCATGAAAAACTGAATTTTCTTCATTTTTTGTAATGAAATAGTTCCATGTAGCAGTTAAAACCAAGTACAGCCTATTTAATTCTAAAGGACAAAGAGAGATTGAATGTACGTCATGTAAAACGAACTGTGGCTATGAACCCAAATAAATGTCATAAATATAAAAATAAAATACAGTAAAAATGCATGATATGGGCCCTTTACACATCAAACTGTCTTTTCCTTAGTTAAACAGCTTAAGTTTTAATAGCAAGAAGCAGTGTTACTCACCTGTGGGTTTCTGAAGAGTTTGAGAAAAATTTGCAGGCAGCTGCAGAACAAAATTCGATGGATTGATGTCTTTTGCAAAGCCTTCCACAGCTTTGGACTGTAAGACTTTTGACTCCCACAGCTATGGAGATAAAAAGGGTGTTTTTCCTCCTCCTCAGACAAAATCTCTCTTTTAAATATGACAATGTCCAACAACTAAATTTACTATGATACGGAAACACCACAGAACTTCTGATTGTGTAAAAGTGAACATTTCTTACATTTATCTTTGATTAATATCTAACAGTATCCATTTGAATATTTTTGTACCACATTGTTTAAATCCAGTTGGACTTTCTTGGACTTACATTAAAGACAGATTTCAAAAATGGGACTTTTCTAAATTTCAATATGTAAACAGAGTCATTCAGAGTGGTTTGATGTTAAATGCTCCACCCCTCATAAACATGCAGAGTCAGAATTGTTCACAGTGGTGGTGATAGGAACCAGACGTCTGAAGAGCTGAATGCCTTTAAAAGCTGCCCCAACAGAAAGTTATTACATGAAATGTTTGTGAATATGCTGCCTAATGCCTGAGATAAGGTGCTCGCCTGAACATATTTCATTAAATCTGTTCATGGCAGAGAGGGAAATTTAGAGCTTTGTCAAAAGTAGCCAAAGAAAACAACTTCCTTCAGATTTACCATTTTACCATTATCAACGTTACACATAAAAACTCAGAAGACAGGTAAATAAAATGTCTATTTATGTGCTGTAGACACGGAGACCCCTGGTTCCTATCACCACCACTGCAAAAACATCTGAATCAGTAAGTTTCTCTACAATTCACTATTTCACATCAGACCATTCTGACTGATTCTGTTTTACTTCTCACATATAGAGAATTCCTGAAAAATTGGTGGAACTGTACTTTAACTGAAAATGGTGTTTCAACGTTATTTACCAACATTTTACATTAGGTAACTAATGAAAATTTGGGGGTACTTTATTTTTTTCCCCCCAGTAGCATATGGACTCTCACCTGTCTCAAGTCCTCTAGTACTCGTTCTTCCACCCCTTCTTCGAGGAATAGTTCCCGAATACTCTCCATCACGTCGTCAATGATGGAGAGGTAGAGTTTAGGCTGAGGGAAATGAAAAGGTACACTCTTAAAAATGGTTCTTTAGGGGTCCTTTTAGAACCACGAGTTCTACATAGAACCATTTCATGTTCTATTAATGTTAAGAGTTTATTTCTATGAAAACGATATAAAAGTGGCGTTTATACTGGGGAAAACGTTGGAAAGGTAACCTAGCTAGCTAGAGTTTACCGTTACGCTGAAGAAAATATAACCTAGGTTAGTTAACGTGGCAAATAACTTTAACGTTACAGTAATGCTGAGGGAAATGTCGAGTTTTAGAAATGATGGAAAAGTGGGGTTAGGCTTAGAAGAATGACGGACAAGCAAAACCTCGCCTGAGGAAATGTAGAAATGGTAGAGTTAAGGACGAGGACAAATGACAGCAAGCTAGCCATTATCTTACGCTGAGGTAATGAGAAGAACGGTTTACGTTAGCTAGGTTAGCTAACTAGCTAAGTCAAGTAACGTTACGTTAAACCTCTCCTGTGGCCTTAGCAGATGTTTTCTAAAGTGAATCATTTATTTGCTAACTCTACATTTTTATACAGTTACAATGTTTTTCACACAGAGTCGAGTCTGACAGGTACGTTAAGTTTCAACATAACGTTAGCTAGTTTCGTAGCCAACACCAGAAAGGTAGCGTTAGCTCCTAGTCAACTCATATAGCGTTATATGGAATAGTAAAACCGTTTAACGTTGGCTGATAAGAATAATCAAGAACAAGCGTGAGGTTTTATCATTAGCTTTCACGTTAAGGAGTTGGTCTGAACGCCCGTCTGATATACTTACTAAAGTGTTTGCATTTGATAGCATTTTTTTCGATGTCGGTTAACTTGGCTAGCAAGCTGTCTTGATCAAGACGACGTTCACCCGGACTCCCAGTGTTTCCACAGTGATGGTGTAGAACAAGGTACACAGCTGGTTTCTGTCTTTCCAATCAGCCAAGTTTTTGATGTACTTCTTTCACCGCTGTACTTTTTATTGTTTTAAGTCCAACAACAGCCCCGAAAGTCTCCAGACTACCCCAAAAGTCCAGATTACAAAAGACTCCATGGCCTATATCGGGAATTAACTGGAAACTCCAACAGGCTCCACAAACCCAGTTTTTCTTTTACAGCAATTATCAGTTTATTGCTCACGATGCATAAACAAAATGCAATTTAATAAACCAAATTAAATAATATTACACGTTCATGTAAGTATTTATCTGTAATGCACACTTTATGCAGCAAACACTTTATTACATGTGTATCATGTTTTATCCATAAACAGTTGAGATATAGGCTAAAGTGCAACAATACTGTCGACTACTGGATAGGATTTTGACAGGCATTGCTTTGAAACATTGCAGTACATTGTATGCATTGTGTTACCTTTGTGGTTATCAAACACTTACATGATTTCATGCTTTTATATGGAAGAGTCATGCGTGTAAATGTTAACATGAAACAAAAGACCAACGTATGAACATTTAATGCGTTTAAGGTGTTATGAAGTTGGATCACTGTGTTGCACAGCTTGATGGTTTCTGTGATTCTGCTTCAATCAGCTTCTTTTCAATTTCCACCTAAGAAAGCCAGAGAGAGAGAGAGAGAGAGAGAAATCATTAATAAATGCATTAGCGTCTACATGAACAAGTTTAACAGTTACAGTCAGCTCCATAGTTATTGGCACCCTTGGTAAAGATGGGTTGAAAAAAAATTATAAAAATGTGGTTAATTAACCCAACCTCACACTCGGAGAGATATACAGAAAAGTTAATTTAGTCTAAGAAAACAAAAACCAATATCAAAATATACACTGACCGACCCTTTATTAAAACCACCCACTTGTTTCTACACTCATTGTCCATTTAATCAGCTCCACTTACTATATATATGCACTTTGTAGTTCTACAATTACAGACTGTAGTTCATCTGTTTCTCTGCATACTTTGTTAGCCCCCTTTTACCCTGTTCTTCAGTGGTCAGCCCAATTGTACAACTACGAAGTGCTCGTATATGGTAAATGGAGCTGATAAAATGGACAGTGAGTGTAGAAACAAGGTAGTTTTAATGTTATGGCTGATTTTTGTATAGTTTTTTTTAACAAAACCACAAAAAGTCACAATTATTGGCACCCCTGCATTTAGTACTTTGTGCGGTCTCCCTTTGCCAACATTAAGCAAGTAGTCTTCTCATATAATGCTTGATGTGATCAGAGAATACAGAGCATAGAATTTGAGACCGCTTGAGAAATCTCCTGGTACATCATGGAGTATATGATACATAGATGTTAACAATAGCCTTTGGAGGAAAAACAGTGCCAAAACATACAAGATGGTCCAGCATACTTAACGGAAGGGATGAGGTTCTTTTCTGTGTAACCATCCTTTTTATTCCAGACCCACCTTAAGTGTTTGGTGCCAAAAAGCTCCATTTTTGTCTCATCTAACAATAGAACCTCCAGGCGGTTATATGGAAGAAAAGGCCTTTTAGAATAGAGGAGACATCTAATCATAGTTTTGGAGACTTGTTGACCCAAAATCAGTTTCTGCAAATCTCCATCCTTCTGCCTCTCTAACCATCCTTGTTACTGCACATGGGTGAAAAACACAATTGTGTTCTCTTCCAGGCAGGTTTATCACAGGTCTGGTTAATTTAAACCTTTTGATTATTTTCTTAACAGTGAACATTGTTTATTGCCTGATCTTGCTCATGCTAATGAATTACTAAGGAAATTTGGCTCATGTCACCTCATACTTATACCCCTTTGAAACAGGGAGTCATGGATGACCACTTAAAAGTTACTGAACACTCAAGTGGACTTTAAAGGTGAAATATAAATAGGGGTATTCTTCACTTACATTTTGTTGATAAAATTTATATGAATGGTAATAATTATGACACAGGAGTTTCTGTTTTTTGGACTGATGGTCCGGCCATTGACTCTAACCTTACCTGGCAATGATAGTATGCTCTGCTGCTGACATGTTTTTGAGGCTGAATGTCACTTTCTGTTCCCAAAGACTTCACGCGTGTCTGCGAAGCAACTGTGTCTGCAACCTCACATTCCATGGTGATGAATGGGAACCAGTCAGTGGGAATCTCCTGGTCTGATGCAAGCTCCAATTTACAGGAGAAGGAGTGCGGATGGTCCACTGCTGTGAGTAAAAAAGGACCAAATAAGAATGTTTTTAAAAAACACAGTTTGAAAATATTTTCCATTGGATAACTCGCATCTGTCCAAAAACAGACAAGCCACACTAGCTGCACTCTCTTTTCCAAACAAAATCTAACAGCAAAGATATTTAAAAATTGAAATAATACACTTAGCTTGTTTTGTGTTCGCAATAATTCACTTTAAATATTTTGATTATTTCTAATAATACTTTGTTTATTTTGCTAAAACATAAAGATGACAAGGTGGACAAGTGGACTTGGGCATGGCAGGGTGGATAAAATCATGATTTAGTACCCTAGGACACCAGAGGTTTTATTTTTTTAAGAAGTAAACCTTTGATGAATGACAAAGAATGAAAAAGACAAAGAAAAAATTCATAAGATTTGATTCAATTAAAATAATCTGATTTGAAAACAAAATGTAAAATGTGTAAACAAGTTTTACTGAGATTTCTCAAAATTCTGGGATAGCTTTTGCAGGAACTAGCTTTACATTGTATAATAAACTGTTATGAATACACACCAGCTCCCAGAATTAATAATGTAAATACAATAACATACCATAATTTAAGAAAATAGTATGTTATTCTAAATATGTGCTGTAAAATTACACTAGTTGTTCACAATGTCCACGTTGTGAGGGGGAGAGGCATGACAGCGTGGATATTTCTATGTAGATGTAGCATCTCATTAACAAATGGTTGATTTGTCAAGTAAAGTTATGAATTGTTCAGGGTGACCTAAAACTGACTTTTTGTTAAGTAACTGCATTTGTTCAGTTACCATGACAGCTTTACCACGTCCAGCTACAAACGAATATGATGAAAATTCACATAATTGGACAAACGCAATTTCAGTCAGGACAGTGCGTGAAATGAAAATAAAAAGAGAAAAACAGTTATTTGTAAATCTACATTGACCTGTTTTATCTCATGAACATAATTGTTTTTTGAACAGTTGAAACGGAGGCAGTTTAAGATTAGGTATGTTGCTAAATGTTAAGAAAAAGAATTTAAAAGAGGTGATCCAATCATGCTTGAGTGTAAAAGAAGTATCCAGACAAGGCCTAGTCCATTATAACCAAGGATGTGTCGAGGCTTGCCACTGTCAAAAAATTCTGAAAGTAAAAAGCAAGTCCAAAAACCACAACTGAATGCAAGTGACCTTCAATCCCTCTGCACTGCAGAAAAAACAGCATGCTTCTGTTATGGATATCACAGTTTAGGAATACTCTGACAGACCACTGTCAGTAAACTCTGTTCATCACTGCATTCACAAATGCAAGTTAAGACTGTACTACGCACAGCGGAAGTCATAGGTCAACAATATCCAGAAACGCTGCCTGATTTCTCTGGGCTCGAGCTCATCAGAAATAAGACTGATGCATGGTGGAAACATGTACTGTGGTCTGACCCACCTGGTGTCCAGACCCGCCTCCCATTGATAACATGAGGTGCATAATGAAGTGCAAAATACGACCATGAAGGCCTATACAGTTGCGCAGCTGATCATGTCATTGAAGAACTGCTTTCAAAACTGGATCATCAGTGTTGTTAAAAGGACAGGTGATGCCACACAACATTTTGGAATGTGTTGCAGACAGCATTTTTTGGAATGAGCATATATTTACAAAAATAGATTTTGTTACTGTACATGAAGCAGTTCTGATTAACTCCACTAAAAGGAAATCACTATGGTGGCTTCAGTGTCACTAATGTCAAAGATCAGGTGTCTTAACATGTGGTAACCCCATTATGACAGGGTGGACAGCAATGCCAGGGACACACACAAAACATTCAATATTATGATGAAAATTGCTTCATTAATGTTCAAAGGATCTCTTTTATGGTGTGAGAAAATATGAAGTCTTCACATTTTTTGTTGTTCCATCACTTATTACACTTACTGAAGGTAATCAAGCAGCCTCTAGGGCATAGTCCCCGCATCCAATCAAAAAATGGGTACAAAATGTGTAAAATGCTTCTTAAAGTAAATGTTATGATGCAGATATATTCATAAATGTTTACCCAATCAGAAATCATTGTTTTGCGATTATTTTTATGAAACTGGAAAGATTATTATTGGAACAGTAAAGGCACCTTACACTGATAATGACACTGACACCCAGTCTGCCTAAAAACGTCTTCAGAGGTACATTTTGCTGTGCTTACTGCCTTTGCTATGTTTAGCCTATATCCCATCCCTTTTTAGAATGAATTAATTTGATTAAATCAAAACTCACCTATTAACTATCTGTAAGCCTTACTTTTAGGTAATAAAAAGCTTCCTGTTTTTAAATATGTAACAGCAAGCATACTCAAAATCCTGCTGCTGTGGGTTAATGTGTGGGGTTTATCTCTTTTAATGATGCACAAAGAGTAGATTCTGTGCATTTCACAAAATTAATATTAAAATTCAAATTTAATTCAAATTCAACATTTATGTTTAATACTTTCTAGAAAATATATGTCTTTTATTTCAGTGCTACAACACTTGCAACTCTCCAAACGTTTACTCACAACCCTGGCTAACAGGCAGAAATATGTTCTCATATGATGTAACTCAGTGGTCTGCTTCAGCTGGCAGTCCAACATAGGCCGACTCATTGTAACAAACTGCTAGTTTAGTGGCTAAACTGCTCCAAAGATACTG